AACTTCAGGATAAGTTAACTCAATTTATCTCATTTTGTTATAATTTATCTGTTTTTATGTCCCAATAAGTAAGATATTTTAAATATGGCAGGGAAGTTGAATGCTTTAATTCCTGTAAATATTTTTTTCATTTTATACATAGTTCAGGAAAATAAAAATTTAAGATAAAAATACAATACAAATGATAAGGTAATGTGGAAAATATAATTAGCATCATTAATTAACTACAATTCTCACAGGTATGTGCCTACCCTGAAATCGACGTTTTTATGAAAATTTTCGAAATTTTTTTTATTACTTTGTATTAAAGCCCATACATTTAGGATTCCAAAAATGGTTTACTTTAGTTTCTCCGATAGTTAGAAGCAAAGTTATTGCCTAAATTATGAACCAGAAGTCAAATTTTCGAAACCGAAACTAAGCCATAGAAATGCAAAAAACTCATCTAAACAGTTATTTCTTTACTCTTAGACAATGTGAATGTACAATTTACTTTTTAAATATAGAATTAAGTTTTATTTATTTTTTTATTATTGTTCTAGGCGTATCTGGCAACTGTTTCTCTAGTTACGGGATATTTTACGTAAAGAAAATTTCGCTCACTCCAAACACTGTTATTAGGTAGTAAAATAGTAGTTTAATTATTCAATTCAGGCAATATAAGGCTGATGACTGTATTTAACCATCTTAATGTCAAACTTGAACCAGAAATTATTAAAAAAAACTACATAGAAATTGATATTGAGAGAATTAAGAAATCGAAGCGACAGGTCGAACCAAAAACAAAATTATCAAGAAAAAAATTTAAAGTTAATTTTTAATTAATTTTGATTTAAATTTAAGTCAAAGAAGGCTTAACTTACAAATACTGTGAATTTTAAGTTGTTAAAATCTGTATATAATTTTTTGTGCGGCTTTAAAATCTTCATTTGCGTTTTCTGGAAAACTGTTATTTTCATTTTTTGACATTGCGATAAATCTCATTTCTTAAAAAGTTTTTAATATATTCAAATGAAATTTAATCACAGTGTTCTATACATCTCTAGGTATGTTATGAACCTCAAGTATAGCTTAAAGTGCATAATTATTTATTTTAGAGCTGTTTTTATTTGAAAAAGTGATAGTTTTTTTTGTAAAAAGCTGTTGCATACACAAACTTTGGTATATCTCGGTAACTTTAAGAGGTACACTAAATATTCTGCTTCATAACACAGGTAAATGTATACCAAATATGTTATTGAAAGAAAAAGGGAAATACATGCATTAGAATTTGTTATAGGAAGTTTGGCGTAAACGTCAATTTTTACTAAATTTTGACCAAAAATGATCAAAATTTGGAAAATAAAAAATTTGTTCATTAAAATGGCATTTGAATTAACAGTTTTATACACCATTATAACTGAAAACATAAGTGTTGAATAAAAATTTCCTTTTTTTCAAAAAAAGTGCTCCGAAGGTAGGCACATACCTTAACTGACATAATATAGAACTAACAATGTTGTTAGTTCACTGATAGCAGTTTTTTAGGTTTCACTGACAACATTTACTTCATCGTGCTTCATTATTTCTGATTTTGGCATGTTTAAACATGTGTGTTGTTATTTTCACACAAATGTATTTTTAATTAGTAACTGTAATCATTATTTCTATTCTAGTCTAGTGCTACATTATGCCTATTCTATTCTATTCTAATTCTATATTATGCCATAGCATAATATAGAGCTAATAGTTCTATTAGTTCCCTGATGGCAATCTTTTAGGTTTCACTGATAACATTTACTTCATCGTGCTTCATTTTTTCTGATTTTTGCATGTTAAAATGTCAATACTGTTCTTTTCACATAATTGGGTTTTAATTTCCTTTTTCGGAAAAAATAATTAGGATTTTCTTTTTTCTATAAATTATTTATCCATATATACAAATGTTACTTTTTGGTACTTAATCACCACAGAAACAGCCTTTGTCGGAGAATTCCTGCTGAATAAATATTTTGATCTGTTTGTCAGGTAGAATGTAATATGTTTTAAAATTATACAAGCATTAACATACTTTTTATCATTTTTCTTACTGGCCAATTTATGCATGCAAAATTTATTGGAAAACACAAATATCAAATTACAAATAAAAACACGTTCATATTTGAAAAGCAGCTATTGGCCGCTTAACAAGCAACACCACCTATCTAAATCATTTGAAATTTCAGAGAGAAAGAAAAAACTGAATTTTTCGCAACTGATAACGAATATTTCTGGATTTTTTAACATCTGATAAAAGCATGAGACCGCAGGTTCCTACTAGATGTGAAACAAAATTCAGAAATATTCGTTATTGATTGCGAAAAAATCATTTTTTTTTCTTCCTCTTTGAAATTTCAAAAAATTGAGATAGATGGTATTGTTTGTTAAGCGACTTATTACTATGATAGCAAAGGAAGATGGAACATACCGGAAATACTTGTCATGCACGAAATTTGAATCAGTCAGATCCATACACAGTCACCAGCTAAAATAGCCTGAAGGCTCAGCATGGGTTGGAGAATCAAGGTCTCGAGACAATTGAAGTTCAAACATGTACATGCGGGGTTTGCGTACATTAAATCCGACTTCGAGGGTCAAAAATCTTATCATAAATATGGTGTGGAAGTTTGGATAGAAGGGCGCTCACTTTAGTGTCATCATCATCGGATCACTTTTCAAAATTACGCAATACGTCCCCAATAACCCTTTATAGCTTCAGAATGGGATATTAAATATCTCTATATGGACTTATAAACAACTTTAAAAAAAGTCACTCATGGTAGTGAAAAGTTTCGCAATCAAATATAAGAAATTTACGATAGAGACTTCAAATCCAAGGATTTGGAATTTAATTCAGTATTTATAAATTTAAAATAATTTGGTAAAAAAAAAAACTTAACCAAGTCCACCAGCCTCAACCACTCGACCGATTTTGACATTTTTTTTTTAAATTTGAAAGGTTATGACGTCTAGATATATCATCAAGGGTCGCCTGCCCCCCTCCCCATTTTCGAACGTAATCGAAAAAACTCTTTCCCACTGTGCATTCTCTTATGGGGAAAAACCATTGGACAGTTCGCCAGCAACAACCACCCGACGGATTTCGACAATTTTCTTTTAATTGAAAGGTTATGAAGTCTAGATATGCCATCACGGGTCGCCTGCCCCCCACTACCCACCATTTTTGAATGAAATAGAAAAAACACTTCTCCACCATACATTCTCTTTATGTTTTTTCGATTTCGTTAAAAAATGGGGGTTTGTGGAGGGGCAGACGACCTTTGATGACATATCTAGACGTCATAAGCATTCATATGAAATAAAAATTGTCGAAATACGTCGTGTGGTTGTTGCTAGCGAACTGTCCAAAGGTTTTTCACCATAGAGAATGTACAGTTGGAAAGAATTTTTTCGATTTTGTTCGAAAATGGGGGGGGGGGGGGTGACAGCCGATCCTTGATGACATATCTAGACGTCATTAGCTTTCATATAAAATAAAAATTGTTGAAATAGGTTAGGTGGTTGTGGCTGGGGAATGTCTGAGGGTATATTATTTTAAACATATAGATCCCAACAGTTCCATCACAATGGCGTGTCAAAAACATTGTAAAATACCTATTGTAGGTGATGGAAACTGTTTAGTTAGGGCGATTTCATCCTGTATTTATGGATCTGAAGACTTTTATGCCGAAATTCATGAAAAAGACAAAAAGAAATTCATACAAAACATTATAACTAGATGAGGTTTATTGAAAGATTTTACAATTTTAAAGGAATCTGTTGTCTACAAAGAATATGAAATTTACTATGGTTTTATGGTCTGTTCCACTGATCATGCAAAACTGAAAAAAGTAGTGGCTGAGAGCCTCGAGGCAGCGAGGTGGCAGGGGTGGTGCTGATCAAAGTGGGTGCTGGCCGCGAACCCGCCCAGAGGGCGGCGAGAGCGACTAGTTACTTATTAAAATTCAAATGCACTCTCATTCTATGTTGGAAATCTATACGCTGCTTGTTATGTTATTTTTAAGTTGCTGAAAGAGCTCAGCTATAGATACTTTAAAGAACAAGCAAAATCCTCTTCCTATTGTCTCTTGTAACAAAAGGCCATATATTATACTGTTTCAAAGGATTTTGAGTGAAATTATGGCTTTTTGTTCCGCATTTCTAACTCCTTCATAATAAAGTAACTGAATTGAAAATTTAAAAGACCTTTATTTATTTCTTATTATTTTGAAGTGAAGCATATCTAATTAGGTATAGGAAGCATATATAATTAGAAAACTGCGAAGGAAACGAAAATAAGAGGAAGGGGTATGAAACATTTGTTATACAGCAGAATTTCGCTAATTCAAAGAGAGCAGGACCACAATAAAAATTATATTCATCCAAAAATTCGAATTAAGAAAAACTGGGTATGAAAATAATTACAGTAAGAGAAAACGATACTTTTTAGACCGAAAATATCAGAAAGGGTTTATTTTTGGTATCCAATAGTTTAATAAATACTTATAATATTATTACAATTTTATTTATACATAATGAATAAATAAATTAATAATAACTATAATTACGAAAAATTAATAATTTAAAAAATAACTTTAATAAATAAATAAATCATTATGATAAATATGCAGCCCTTTGAATACAATAATTTTTCAATAACACTGCCACGTAAAATGAAAGAAGACATGGTGGACACAAGGTTTAGAAGTATTTAACTAATGAAATCAATTCAGGGAAAAATATTATAATTTTTAGTTTCGAATTGACCAAAATAAGGTGGAATTATTGACTACATTATTTTATCGGAAATTTCAAGGGACCAGAGACCTATTCCAATTAGCGAAGCTCCGCTGTAATTGCGTCGGTGTGGGGAGGGTGAGATAGAGGGGTTCTAACACGTGATTGTTGGACGTTGTTATTGCTTATGCATCACTGGGGTATGAGGACATTTCATTTTACTAACCTACAGTCTAAAATACAACCGCCCGCGGGTGGGTTTGAGCCACCAACCTTTTGGCTAACAGCCGAACGCGCGAGCCGATTGCGCCACGGAAGCTCAGCAGTGAAAGCGACATTGACTTTTTCCCTTACTTCGATTTTGTCAGCATCGTTAAAGCAACTGTATAAACACAGATTGCAAAACAATTAATTTATTATCAATATTTTAGATACATGTCAATAGTTCAAATAGCATATGCAAACTTCGTATAATTAATGTCTTAAATTTATAATAATGACAATATTTATAAATATTGCTAATATTAAACTTTTTCTCGTAATGGATGAATTTGTTGAATTCTCTATTGGAAGCTTTTACTGGCTTATTATTTCCCCATTAGATCTGTTTTGTTTCTTTTCACATTAGACGAAAGTTATATGTTACGACACACGACATTTTCACATTGTTCAGAGTAAAGTAACAGTTATTGCTGACTGCAGACCTGTCAGTGGCGTAGCGAAGATAGGTGGCACCGGAGTCATAATATGATTTTTCCCCCCCCCCCCCCTCGTCATCATCATTGATAGCTTGTGCAATCGGTGCTTTATCTTTTTAGCCCCTCATCGTATTTGACTTTGAAAAGTGGCATAAACGCATTAACGTTTTGTAACCACGGCCAGTGGCGTAGCGAAAGTAAGTGGCGCCCAGAAAATAATGATTGTTTTTATTCCAGTCGTCATCAGTGGCTTAACAAGCGTCAATGGTGCCAAGATATGACACTATTTTTACGCCTTATCATCATATTTTGCATTAAAAGTGGCATAGAAGCAATAGGTTTTGACTCGATGCCGCTCCTTAAAACTGGAGCCCGGGGCATCTATAACCCCCTGCTCCCCGACCGCTACGCCACTGATACCTGTAGGATTAGTCTTCAAAGATAAATATTGTAAATACGCAAAAATATGTAGAAACAGGATTTTAAATAATTTTTTAATCTCTGAATAAATATTGAAATTTAATTGGTGAAGGATTAATGCATAATACTAAATTGAAAGTAAGAAGGGGAGGAAAGTGAAATCGTGAGACATGTGCAAATATAGAAGAAAACGCTATTTTACTGCAAATTGCATATAGTGCATGTATCACCTGATTTTACATAATGAGATAAGGGGTTGAAACAGTTTTAGTTATTTAAATTTAAAGTAGCTAAAGGGCGTTTCTTTCAATGTGAATTTCACATTATTAAAGGAATCTATTACAATTAATTTCCTTTATGGGAGGAGCTTATTAAAGAAAAGGTTGTTATAATCTCAATAAAGGTTGTTATCTCTCTCACTTTAAACAGCAAAGATATTAAATTATCTTTACAATGCTTAAATGGAATAATTACAAACAGTATCATGAAAAAACACTGTACGTAAATTTCGAGTCATCATCTGCAATATCTCTCGGTTAAAATAAATATTTATCATCAATAATAGATGGCTATTCAAGTGAAACTGTAATACACATAATATAACAAAAGTGGAGTCTTTCATTCTATTAAGGAGTATGAAGCTAATAGGAAGGAAATTAAAGCAGAGATAGTTTTGTATAAGAAAAAAATTTGAAAATTTTCCATTGTATTAAATCTGTCTTCTGGTCACTATTTAGTTATCTTATGAGATAAGATAATCTTATCAGATATAATTATCATTACTTTGCTTGGAAGATTTTTCTAAAATCTGATTGCAATAACGTAACAATACTGCTAAAATTAATGGAAACGTCTATTTAAAATGTATTCTGCTCGGCGACCAAAATAAAAAAAAATGAGTACAATTATCCGAAGAGTTTTGACACTTCTTGCCTGTCTAAGACTCCTAATTATTTAGAGGGCACGCTTTGCATTATTTCACATATATAATTTGGAGGGATTATAAATGCTTATGGCACACTATCCTTCGACTTCCTCACATTTTAAGACCCAGTTTTTGTTAATTCGAATTTTTGGACAGATGGAATTTTTAAAGCAGTCCCACCAACTTCGAATTAGACGTTCCACTGCATGCATAGTCAATTATTTTTTATTTAAAATAAATGCTTCATTTGTGTGTGCATTTTTTTAAGTAAATGTATACTTAAAATCGCTGTTCCCCTCCCCTTTAATAGAAAATGGTTTGTGAGTGGGAAAGTTGGAAGTTAGCTTGCCATAAAAATATACCTCTGTCGAAACTCAAAATGCAAGAGGTCGTCAAACCGGTACTTTCACAGCGGGCCTCTAAGCTTAATAGGCTCTGTGATGATGTTTCAACCCGACTCCGTATTGCATATACGCACCTTACTCATAAATATTGGTTCTTAGCAAAGCCTCGCCCGATTCGTAGCCACTGTGGGGCCGTGATGACTGTTCATCACGCTTTGATATTTTGAGTCATTTTCAATAAACTTGATTTAAAACATTTTCATTCAAATATTTTTAACTTCTAATTTTTATTAAATGAAAACTCCTTATTTTAACATTTCTGTGTATATAAAAGACAATAGAATTTTTAAGAATATTAGTTTTGTTTTATTTGTTCTGGTTTCGTATTACCAATTTATTTAGTTACTCTGCTTCTATAATATCAGTTTGATCTTCTGATTTTAACTCATGGTTTTACTATTGCTAATACATTCATACCTTGGCTTTTAATTTACATTTCCAGTTTCTGTGCAATTTTTGGAACTGAACTAAGCCAAAAGTGTGCCCTGTCGCTAAAAGTTTATAAAGCCTAGATGAAAACATCTATTATATCTTAATTTACACTGTAATTTATCTTAATTTACTTCCATAATAGTTGAAATTTTCAACGATCAATTAATTATATTATAATTATTAAATTCTAATAAAGCTTTGTAGTAAATCGTATTATTTTAATCGGTCGATTTCTTTAATATGCATTTAATTGTGCATACGATTAAATCTATGTTATAGAACCAACGTTGGGTTCACTTTTTATTTGAGTTCAGTTCATTTTGAAACCTCACGTTGGCTTTTGGGATGAACCTCGTATTTTTGAAGCATGGTCAGATGATGAGGGTTACACCTGAGCCGACACCTCTTTTTCTAAACCTCCGCAACACACCGGCATATGATTGTTTGACCCCAACAAATTTAACGCGCACCAGGGTTTCCGTACACAACGGATCATTGGTAGAATAGGACATCGAATCCACGACCCAACGGTCCCAAAGCCGAATCTGTCACCAGACCACCACAGCTCCACTTTTTACTTTAGAAAACTTTCTTAAACAGAGGTTTTTACACACTTATTTAACTTGACTTTTTTCGTGTTTGTAACCAGAAAAACTGGATCTACCCCCGCCCTGCCGTAGCATCCGGGTCATCTGAATGACAGCCGCTGCAATAGCTAGAATACTGACCAGAGTCCAAATCACCAGGCCACGACTCGACCCCTCCCAAAGGAGGTATGTACTATAACTGGTGGAAGACCCAGAGCCCCACCATTACTATACCTCCAGGGTAAGCGAGTGCCCTCTTACTCATCCGGCGGCCACTCATCCGTGTACTCGTGGTGCCCCCTGGGACTTTCGTGTTTGTAAAGATGACTTTTCACTCTTTTCCTGATGTATTAGAGTTTTAAAATTTTGTACACTTAATGTATTCTCAATGACAATACACTATTTTAATACTTTCAGAACTTAATTATCAGTTAATTTATTAATTTGATTAAATTTTTGTTCTATACAAATGGCGCCAGCTGTAGTGAATTTGAGAAAAAATTGATTTCAAGATGAAATAATATTTATAATAATGAACCATAAATTAAAGACTAAAAAGTTGGAAATAACTATGAAAAAAGGTCTACTTGTTAGTGTACTAAGAAAAGTGTGTTTTCAAAAATTGTTTTTATTAAATTCATTTTTATACTAATTAATAAAACTGATTGTAGATAAGCTTCCTGTCTATAAAAAACCTTCTTTTTAATACATTAATAAAAGTGTGTTTTTAAAAATTGTTTTGATTAATTTATTTATATATACGATTTGAAATTGCTGTATATAAAATGTATAAAATTTAATTACCTTGCCTGAGCGACGAAACTTCCGATTACGCTTATTGCTGCATTTCATTTTGGATTTGCTACGCAGCAATTATATTAAGTTCATACTTTGAATAATGCATAAGAGTAGTGCATTATTTCGCACGGACTGAAAAATAAAGCTAATGAAAAGGGATATTTTTATACCTTTTGCATTTTCTTCTAGTTTAAGGCATCATTGCAGCCCAGAGCCATTTCGCCTAGCCTTTAATCCGCCTTGTTTATAAAATTCGAGGATTTTTGAGCCAATAATATCGAATGAAATAAAAATGAAAGAATCATTTTAATATTACATAGGAAGAAATTTGGTAAGAAATTAGGCACATACAGAAAATAAAATGTCAGCACATTCTTTAAACAATGTCAAAGAGAAATAAAATGCATTCAGTTTAACAAGGAAATAGATGTCAGAATATTGTTTAGGTATTATCAACTGTAATTTTTCTTTAATTTAATTACGGCGATAATGTTACGAAATATTTTTAGTCTCTTAAGATATCAAAAGTTCAAAATCCCTACTTATCTCATCTATATGAAAAAATTCAAATTCTGCAACTGAAACTGAGTAGAAAGTTTGAACTTGATTAAAGGAAACAAATCGATAAAATTAATTTTACATTGTGAAATGTGAAATAAATAATATGATAAAAAAAACTCACATGAACCAATGTCCCCTCTTTCAAACAATTAAGGGAAGGAAAGCAATTCATCATTTTTTTCGGAGAGTAACATTTTAGCTTGATAATTATATATCATTTCTACAAGCTGTTATTTCTCAAACATTAAAAAATTCTTGTGAGACTGATCCACGAGTTACCCTGAAGGCTATGAAGATTGCACAAAAAATGACATGTCAGACGTCTCTTGCTTCACAATTCTTTGGGGTCATTTAACCTGATACTGGAGCATTTCGTGAGATTAGCAATATTTTTAAATTTCATCATACTATGAAGTCTGGTTTCCGTTCAACCAAAATTTCCTGGTTCAGCGACATGCATTGCCTTGCAAAAAAAAAGAAACATTGAATAAGAC